TCTCTCTGCCTCATAGCCTGCGAGGTACACAGATTTCAACACGTCCAGACATGGTTTTCCGACACTCTCTCTAATTCCTCTTTTTTTTTTTTTATTTCTTTATTGAATCACCGTGGGAAAGGTTACAAAGCTTTCAGGTTTAGGTCTCAGTCATGCAAATATCAAACACATTTCCCTTTACCAAAACTTATTTTTTACCATGAAGAACCCCAATAAAACCCCACCCCCACCCCTCCCAGTCCCTGTGGGGCAGATGAATTCTAGTTAACACTCTATCTGCTTTGATTAGATTCATTGTTTCAATAAAAGATTCACCACTATTATTTAGAGTTTACCCCCCCCCCCAAATCAGACATGCTGAAAAAGCATTGTGAAGTGATTTGCTTTCTACAGCTGGGTTCAAGAATTAAATGTTGGTTTTGGATTTCTGCTATTTTACTTATTGAACCTGGAAGTATTTCTACTGAAAGTCAGATAGTTAAGAAATTGGTTTCTGTGCACTGGAGACGTGGCCGTGCTGGAGAGCCGCTAGTGGGGGGCAACTGGTGGCCTCGGTAGGGCGTGAAGGGCGGACCGAAACGCCCCCCTTCCCATGAGGTTTTAGTCGCCCCCACTACCCCGGCTCATACCTGCTGTCCACAAGGCTCCCATGTGGCCGCCATCTTTCTTTCCAGAGAGGAGAAGGCGACTGGGGCAACACCCTTTCCCCTCTGGACAGACCTGATGGCCTGGATTAACGCATAGTCCATTCACTTTTCTGCTCCAAGCTGCTGGGTTCTGCATTAAGTCCTTGTGCTTCTGGGGCCGTGGCCGTGCTGGAGAGCCGCTCGCGGGGGGCAACTGGTGACCTCAGTAGGACGTGAAGGACGGACCGGAACGTCCCCCTTCCCATGAGGTTTTAGTCGCCCCCACTCCCCCGGCTCATACCTGCTGTCCACAAGGCTCCCATGCGGCCGCCATCTTTCTTTCCAGAGAGGAGAAGGCGACTGGGGCAACACCCTTTCCCCTCTGGACAGACCTGATGGCCTGGATCAACGCATAGTCCGTTCACTTTTCTGCTCCAAGCTGTCGGGTTCTGCATTAAGTCCTTGTGTTTCTGGGGCCGTGGCCGTGCTGGAGTGCCGCTCGCGGGGGGGCAACTGGTGACCTCAGTAGGATGTGAAGGACGGACCGGAACGTCCCCCTTCCCATGAGGTTTTAGTCGCCCCCACTCCCCCGGCTCATACCTGCTGTCCACAAGGCTCCCATGCAGCCGCCATCTTTCTTTCCAGAGAAGAGAGGGCGAATGGGGCAACACCCTTTCCCCTCCTACAGACTTGATGGCCTGGATTAACGCATAGTCCGTTCACTTTTCTGCTCCAAGCTGCCGGGTTCTGCATTAAGTCCTTGTGCTTCTGGGGCTGTGGCCGTGCTGGAGAACCGCTCGTGGAGGGCAACTTGTGACCTCGGTAGGGCGTGAAGGACGGACCGGAATGCCCCCCTTCCCATGAGGTTTTAGTTGCCCCCACAGCCCCGGCTCATACCTGCTGTCCACAAGGCTCCCATGTGGCCGCTATCTTTCTTTCCAGAGGGAGGAGGGTGGAAGGGACCAACACCCTTTCCCCTCCGGGCAGCCATGATGGCCTGGATTAACGCATAGTCCATTCACTTTTCTGCTCCAAGCTGCTGGGTTCTGCATTAAGTCCTTGTGCTTCTGGGGCCGTGGCCGTGCTGGAGAACCGCTCGCGGGGGGCAACTGGTGACCTCGGTAGGGCGTGAAGGACGGACCGGAACGCCCCCCTTCCCCCACACCCCCGGTTCATACCTGCTGTCCACAAGGCTCCCATGCGGCTGCCATCCTTCTTTCCAGAGAAGAGAGGGCGAATGGGGCAACCCCCTTTCCCCTCTGGCAGACTTGATGGCCTGGATTAACGCATAGTCCTTTCACTTTTCTGCTCCAAGCTGCTGGGTTCTGCATTAAGTCCTTGTGCTTCTGGGACTGTGGCCGTGCTGGAGAGCCGCTCGTGGGGGGCAACTGGTGACCTCGGTAGGGTGTGAAGGACAGACCGGAACGCCCCCCTTCCCATGAGGTTTTAGTCACCCCCACTCCCCCGGCTCATGCCTGCTGTCCACAAGGCTCCCATGTGGCCGCCATCTTTCTTTCCAGAGAGGAGAGGGCGAATGGGGCAACACCCTTTCCCCTCTGGACAGTCATGATGGCCTGGATTAACGCATAGCCCATTCACTTTTCTGCTCCAAGCTGCTGGGTTCTGCATTAAGTCCTTGTGTTTCTGGGGCTGTGGCCGTGCTCCAAACTTAACTATGATTTTCAGAGAGAAACGTTGGGTGGTTTACTTTGTATATATGGATCATTTTGTATGTAAGGAGATGTCGCGCGGCCGCGCAAGCGGCCGCACGGTTTTGAGAAAAAGTCCTAGTTCCTGCATACTCGAGCTGTGGTTGTAGAGGCTTCTGGTCACCGGGGTTCCATCTGGGGGAGGCGGGATGCGAAACCTACCCCATCTGGGGCTTCCCGATGATCTCGGCTCTTTTTGGAACCTGTTTATTTTTTTTCCTTCGGGATCTGCGGGTCCCGCCCTCCATGTTGTCCTTCTCTTTGGCTGAATGCTGTAAATATGGCGCTGGGGGGCGGGCTGTGGGTAATTCCTCTTTTTTAAAAATCATTCTCAGCAGCGGTCCCATCCTTACAGCTGCTCCGTCAGCCTCCTGGAACTTACCTTTGATGCTCCTGTTGCTCAAGCCCACAGCAGTGCTTCAGGTTGTTAGAATTCAGATTCTAGCAACTCTGAGTCCTGAACATTACCTTCTGTTTTTCACCACTTTACAGTTGCCACTGGACACCAGCTTCTCTGTCACTCTTTCATCTCAATTTTCCTACTTTTAAAACTGGAAACTCGGGCTGGAGCGATAGCACAGTGGGTAGGGCATTTGCCTTGCACGTGACCAACCCGGGTTTGATTCCCAGCATCCCATATGGTCCCCTGAGCACCACCAGGAGTAATTCCTGAGTGCAAAGCCAGGAGTAACCCCCCAAAACCCTCTCCCCCCCAAAAACAAAACAAATCCTGGAAGCCCTTGGGGCTGGAGTGATGGTACAGCAGGTAGGGCCTTTGCCTCAAACGTGCCCCACCTGGTTTGATCCCTGGCACCCCGTATGGTTCCCTGAGAACCACCAAGACTAACTTCTTTTTTTTTAAATTTTTATTAGTGAAACACCGTGAGGTACAGTAGTAGACTTACATTTTTTTGTGCTTGGGTTTCAGTTATACAATGATTGAGTACCCATCCCTCCACCAGTGCCCATTCTCCAGCTCCAGTGCTCCCAGTATCCCTCCCACCCACCTCCCATCCCCTCCATCCCACCCCACCTCTGTGACAGGGCATTCCCTTTTGTTTTATCTCTCCTTTCGGGTGCTGTGGTTTGCAAAAGAAGCATTGAGTGGCAATCATGTTTGGTCTATAGTCTACTTTCAGCATGCATCTCTCATCCTGGGAGGATCCTCCAAATACCCTTTATTTGGTGCTCCCTTCTCTATCTGAGCTGCATTCCCCCTAACATGTGTGGCTGGCCTCCAAGCCATGGAGTGAACCTCCTGGTACTTATCTCGGCTCAAGACTAACTTCTGAGTGCAGAGACAGGAATAAACCCAGGTGTGGACCAAAAATAAAGGAAAAAATAAAACAACTGGAAGCCCATGAATCTTTAGAAGCCCCCTGTCCACTCTGCCCCTGTGGTCTAGATGTACAGCTTCTGAACTCAGTCAGACCCGTCTAGGTGGCAGGCAGGTCTCAAGGGTGATTCCACAGCAACAGAAACCTTTGCTTGAAGGATCAGAGGTTTTATTCAGCATCAACTTCTGTTAATCTGATTGTTTGTTTTTTTTTTCTTTTTGGGTCACACCCAGCGATGCTCAGGGGTTACTCCTGGCTCTGCACTCAGGAATTACTCCTGGTGGTGCTTGGGTGACCATATGGGATGCTGAGAATTGAACCCGGGTTGGCTGCTTACAAGGCAAACGCCCTACCCACTGTGCTATCACTCCAGCCCCTGATTGGGTTTTAAATGTATCGCTACAGGTTTGAGGTCTTAATGAGGATAAATTTAAAAGCATAGTACCCACTGGATGCTTTTTTTGGGTGGAGGTGGGAACTATTTAAGAGAACTTGCTTTTGCTAGCAAAATTTTCTTATAGCATTCTCTGCTTCTCTATTCATTCCTGATTTTCCATAGAGTCTGCTTATATCAGGCTTCTGTCCTCTTTAATCTTGAAATGTTTTATCAAGCCCACTGATGATTTCACAAGGCTATAGCCAAAAATCAAATTTGCCTCATCAGTGGTATTGGAGACTATGGTTCAGTCTTTCGTCTTGGCAAACTTTCAACTTTAGTACCTCAACTTAAGTCAACTTTTATGACTTGTGTATTTGAAAAATTTAGTTGGAGGTCGAAGAGATGATGCAGTGTATAAGGCTCCCATGCAGCCTACTCAGGTGCAGTTCCTTCCAACACACTTGGTCTCCCAAGCACTGTTGGGAGTGATAAGAGCCGGAGTAAACTCTGAGCACTGCAGGATGTGGCTCCAAAACCAATACTGGTAATAATTACTACAATTATACAGATGTATTTTTACTTGAATTTTTGATGCATAAAATGATAATTTAGTGAAAATGAACATGTTAGTGATAATTTCACATCAGAAATACTAAACAGAAATCGAACCCACAGTAAACGGACCCACAGGGAGGGGCTGTGGCTCAATGGAAGAGCAAAGGCCTGGCGTGCATGAGGTCACAGGTTCCGTCTGGCCACCAACCCACCTTGATGATGCTTGGTCCTGCCACTGTGACTTCCCCAGCTCTCCCCTCAAAGCACCACAACTAAGTTTAGGACATTTCTCCCCACTGTGTACCAAAACAATAACAACCACTGTGGAAGAAAGGGAAGGGGTAAGAAAATGTTTTTAATTTGAACAGATATTCTAATTTAAAGAAACAGAGACATCACTTCTCGGCCTTTTGGTTAAGATCAAGCATAGTATCTGTTCTTGTCAGTTTAATATTGACATGTCCTCTATAAATGAAAACAATATGTAAATGGAATTGGGGGGGGTCTAGGAAATGGAATGGGAGCTTGCTCCGTATATTTCATGTATTGATTTGGTATTGTAGTACAAAATAGTAATAGTGCATACCCTCAGGGGACATATTACTTGTTCAAAAGAAGACCTGGAGTGATAGTACAACAGGTAGGGCACTTGACTTGAGCATGGCAACCCTGGGTTCAATCCCCAGCATTCCATACATTCCCCAGAGTACCACCAAGAGTGATTCATAAGCAGAGCCAGGAATAACCCCAGAGCATAGCTAAGTGTGACCCAATTAAAACAAAAGCAAAGAGAGCATGCATGAGAGAGAGAGAGAAAGAGACAGAGATACAGAGAGACAGAGACAGAGATTCAGCTCGAGAACAAGTTTGGAATGTTTAGGGGCTTATTATTTCCAGGGCCACGCCTCAGGCACTGGGGACTAGGAACTACCGGGGTTACTCTGGACCATACTGGGCAGTGAGAGGGTGATATTCAGTGCCAGAGAGGGAGCGCACTCCATCCTCATCCTGAGTCCCTTGAAGCATTTAAATTTTTCTCCCTGGGTGAGGACCCCAGGTTATCAGATGGTCAGGATCACCTTGGCACATGTGTGGCACCAGAGAGCAAGTACATGCCCTAGACACTTCTTAAACCACTGACCCTGGGACACTTGCGGGGCTTTCTGTGTGTGGGATCCCTAACAGCAACACTTTTAGGATCCCCTCAGTAAGCACAGCGGCAGTAGAGTTTGAAGTCTCGGCCTTGCACTTGTCAGGGGAGTGCTTTAAGCCACGAAGCCACCTGCCTGGCCATTCCTCTCTCGGCTTTCAGACAGCAGCATTATCCTCCTCCTCACAGTGGATGCGGCAGGACCGGGACTGCTCTCTTTGTCCCCAGGACCTTGTGCTTGACAGGACAGCACCCCAAGTCATTAAGGAATCTTCCAGGTCCCCAAGAGTTTATTTTAAAATTTCTTTTAGTGACTTTGGTAGGAGAAGGTTGGGCCATACCTGCTGGTGTTTGGAGGTGGTTCCCTGGTGCTGGGTTGTTGGGGATGGAACCTGGGTTCCCCTGAACAAAGCCTGTACCCAAACCTCTAGCCATCTCTAGGCTCAGGAGTCTGCATTTAAAGGATTTTCATCAATTGTTTAAAATGCTCAGATGAAATTATGACCTCCGTGTCCCAGATTTTATGCTGTTTCTATCATGTGACTGTCAGAAACACAAAATGGGTTAGATAATAGCCATATTTTACCGCTGTTCATTCTCTGTTGTGGGAGTAGAAAATAATAGAAATGCCTCAAGCAGCTTAGAGTGCCAGTAACTTTTCTTAGCAATTAATGAAGTCATTCATTCCGTTAACACTGTTGAATGCCTTTTATGTGCCAGGCACTCCAGTGGGTACTGGGGATACAAAGATGAATAAAACCCAGTATATATAGCTTCAGAGTCCCAGACAAATGGAAAGGAAAAGGAATAAACAGCCTGGAACAAAAATGCAATGCGGTATGGACCATAGTAGAGAGAGTTGATATTTGATACAAGAATCGTTCACCAGAGGAAATGTTCACTCTCTTGAAATGGGTTGAGAAGTTTGGCCCCATGACATGGATTCTTCCCCGTGCATCAAGGGTGCCTGTGCTTATAACACCTTCACTCTGTTCCATGGCTTGTAATTCTCAAGGTGCAAAAAGAGGTTTTATAAATACCCTTAATTAGAAAAATGCCAGCCCGAAATGGTCTCGGAGGCAGGAGCTGATCTAAAACCTCCCCAAGTTGATATATTCCAGAACCTTTCACTCTCTCAGGGGTTGGGAAAGCCTATATCAGGGGTAGGGGGTGACCGAAGTGGGTGAGACATGGGTCCGCCCACTTGCTCATGCTTTGTAAATTTTGGCGCTCACAAGGGATTCCACACTTTGTTGTGGCACCAGGGATCCCAAGTGACAGCATTGCTGGGGTTGTCCTCAGGACATGTAGGAGTGTGCTGGGGGTAGAATTCATGACTTCACCCTTGGAAGACAAGAACTTTGCCCCTGAATCTCCACCCCGACTTCCAGGCTTTCTCATGTTTATATTATTTTTGGTGGGTCTGGGGTGCCCTCCCATGCTGTGCTCAGGAGGTCCAGTGATTCTCAGCCAACTGGGGCAGTGGTTCAGTGCATGGCCCGAGAGTGCAATGTTGGTTGGGGATCCCAGGGTCGCCCTGATGCCACCAGAGGACTCTTGGGCTGCACCCAGTGATGCTCAAGAGGGACCGTATGGTGCCAGAAATGGAACTTGGGTTTGGTCCACATACTTCCAAACTGCCACTAACATTGGGGGATGGACTCCAAATAGTGCTCAGAAGACATAAGGCCCTTCCCAGTGATCCTTGGTTGGACCAGTGGTTCAGTGCAGGGGCCTGAGGCTGCGGTGCTGCTTGTGCCCTGTGGTGCTGGGGATTCCTTGGGTCACCCTGCTGGTGCTGGGGGTCTTGGGGCTGCATCGGGAGATGTTTGGGGGACAATGTGATGCTGGGGATTGAAATGAGTCAGCTTCATTCAAAGCATGTTCCTTAACTGCTGGACTATCTCTCTAGCCCCTCACATTATTTTAAATCAAAATTTACCACATGATATTTATAATTTGACATAGGCAATAATAACCTTCTTTCCTTTGTCCCTGCTGCCTGCCCTCCCTCTCGCCCTCCCTCTCGCCCTCCCTCCCTAGCTTGCTCCTTCCTTCCTTCCTTCCTTCCTTCCTTCCTTCCTTCCTTCCTTCCTTCCTTTCTCCCTTCCTTCCTTCCTTCTTTCCTTCCTTCCTTCCTTCCTCCCTCCCTCCCTCCCTCCCTCCCTCCCTCCCTCCCTCTCTCCCTCCCTCCCTTCCTTCCTTCCTTCCTTCCTTCCTTCCTTCCTTCCTTCCTTCCTTCCTCCCTTCCTCCCTTCCTCCCTTCCTCCCTTCCTCCCTTCCATCCATCTTCCTGTGACTCATTTCCAAAGGATTAAAGTTGTGAAACTTTTGCAGCTTCCTAAACCAATCAAGTGAATTTTTTTCCCTTTTCTTTTGGCTGTACCTGGCTATGTTCAGAGCTTACTCCTGGCTTTGCACACAGAGATCACTCCTGGCCAAGCACAGGGAACCATATGTGGTGCCAGGGATTGAACTGGGGTTGGATACATGCAAGGCAAACACCTTAACTTCTGTACTGTCTCTATGGCCCTCAAATGAGTTTTAAAATCCAAAAGCTGAGCACTGAGACCAGTTCTCAAAATCTTAACATCTCATAGTCGCTTAGCACTGTTTCACTTATCAATTGTTGTTATAACTATGAAACGGTCTCATGTTTAGATGGAAAAAGACCTCCCTGTGTAGATAGAGAACCTCATTACACATTAGAATGATATATATCTGGGTTTGCTACCAAGACTCGAATTTGGCAAAATGAAAAATGGCTACAAAACCAAGTCTTTGTACTGTTGCTCTATTTTTAATAATTGGTATTCACAAAGGAGAGCTACATTGTGACACCTAATAATTTCTAAATTGGTGTGACACTTAATGGGATTGCCAAATATATAGGAGGAGCTAATTACAAGGCATTTAATTTGGAAATCACAACCATTGCAAAATGGCTTTATAGTTAGATTTTGTGGGTATTTGTCATGGGCAGGAATAAAATTGAGTTGGAAATTCATCTCATTTTAGCTGGACTTTCCTAGGCTTTAGAAAACTTTCTTGTTTTATAAGCTGAATCATAGTAAAGCTCCATTTGTGTATGTTATTTTGTAACATTTTATTTAAGGTGTGCCACTTTCATGATTGTTCTGGTCGCAAAATTTTCCTTCCTTCTCTACCTTTTTATTTGCTTTGTGATGGAGTCATACCTGGTGATGCTCAGGGCTTACTCCTAACTCTGGGCTCACTTATCACTCCTGCAGTTTGGTGAGAGCTATAATGAGATACCAAGAATCAAACTGGGGTTAACTATATAAAGGCCAGTGCCTTAATCCCTGTATTAACTATCCTGCCCTTTTATGTCTTCTTGACTGTGGCTGGATGTGTGCCTTCAAGGCTGATTGCAAATGAAGCGATGCACCAAGATGAGAGGGAGAAGAAACCAGGGAGAGATGATCCCAGCCATGACAAGGGCAAGGCAGGTGAGATGGTCAGAAGGAAAACTTTCACAACCCAGTCACACATGCACCCAGTGCTTGCAAGACACTGACAGTGGGTGGTGTTACCTTCAGAGTGAGGCTTCTAGCGCACAGACATAAGGAATACTCAACTCTGGTACACTGGAGAGGCCACCCTAATCCTGAAGGTGCATGCTTTCTCACATTTCGCATTCAAGACCACCCCTTGTTGCCACAAGAATCTTGGCACTAGATATTCGGGCAGGGCTGATAATGGCTGTAAATGCTGCACATAAGCCTGTCTCTGGTTTGGAAGTTAGTTTTTATCTGGGAACCTCTGATGCATTCCAGACTAGTCCTGTCTGGCAAGCTCTGGGCCATTAAATAGAATCCTTTGGGATTGAGAACAGATAGACAGCGGGTAGGGTGCTTGCCTTACACTCAGCCAACCTGGTTTTCATCCCTAGCACTTTGTGTGGCCCTCTGAGCCCCACCAGAAGTGATTCTGGAGCACAAAGCCAGAAGTAAGCCCTGAGCATTGCTGGAGTGGTCCAAAGTCAGAGAGAGAGAGAGAGTGTCTGCAGGAGGCCTTGTGGCACTATGACCCCAGATCAATTGAGCACCACCCCTCCTCTTTCAAACTAGACCTGCTTAGGGTACACTGGCCACAGTTCTAGGTTCACCCATCAAGGGGATTTGATCTTTCAGTTGGCTCTAATCTAGAATATCTTCCAGGTGTTACAGAACTTCAGGAAACAGGATTTTTTCAGCTTTCTGATATGCCCCTTAATTCCAAGATATTCTTTTTGGTCAATTGATATTTTAATCAATTTGTTCAGACATTCAACATTTCCCAAACCACTTGAAGTTCAACTATATACTGATGATAGATGCAGTTAGCATGGTATTTGCACCTTTGGTTAGGGTGCTGTTTATACAGTGAGTCCTGGCCTAGAAAGCTGTTGTTTGAGTGCAGATACAGGGTAGGTTTTG